GTCAAAGCCATGCCCCAATTTTTCTAATACCCCCCTTAAAATAAACCCCTTTCAGAATCTTTTTTATCCAGGCAATTCTACAATTTTTGGGTGTCGGGTGCCATATGGAACTCTTTCCCAGATTTCTAAGCAAACTATAAATATAAGTGTAATATCCTTACAGCAAGTGAGCAACGACTGTTACAGATATGATTGATCAAGAATGACATACGGTTATTATACCCAGCAAGAAACTTCTAAAAACCTCATATGTAACTAAACTATGAGCACATTTCATGGTGAATAAAAAACAAATTTAAAATTGGAAGAAAAATATCTACACTACCTCAATGGTTGTTTGTGCAGTTCAGGGGTGGCATTAAGAAAGGGAGAGGGGGTCTTGCTGATGCTAAAGCTACCCCAAATGCACTTTAGCCACTTTTGTAGCTCGCAAACTAAAAAACTGTTGTTGTTCTACTTCCTATGTACTACAGTATTTGTACCCATAAGATATACAGTGCAGCCCCCTCTTTTTTTTTTGTCTAACCCAGTGGTAAAAAAGCTGACGTCGCCCCAAATCATACCGTGCTGTACAATAATACAAGATAACTCACTTAATCAGTTAATGTGACAAAAATTTACTGCGTTTCCGTTATAATGCATTAACATTTGAATCTTCATTTATATAATTTTCTAAATATTATGTTGTGTATTAATAATTTAGTCATATAAACCACGTGTTATTACAACGCATTCCAAAAATTTACAATGGTGTTGTGTTATAAAAAAATAACATACTTCAAAATGTTTAACTCGATCAACATACGTTAGGTGCAATTTTCATTACAACAAGTATGCTTAATCACGACGTGTAGCACAGTTCTAATGTATCAAAAACAGCATACGATTTGTGATGTTTCTAAAGTACACAAATGGCCACGTATCTTTACTCCTGGATAACAAATCATACTAGGCTCTCTGAACGTGACGTCATGTTTGCTAGATGGCCTTGAGCTTAAGTGCACACGTCTATAAATATAATATAAAACCAACTTCTCATAAATGTCATATCAGAAATATTTTCAGTGTGCTAATCTTTCTTATATTAAAACATTATTTAAGCCATAAATAAAAATACAACCTGAAGTAGCTCTTCACAACTGTCGTCGCTAGAAATTACCTCACGTTTTACAGAAACCCATTCCATTTTCGTCGCCATTTTGGAACACGTCTAGACACACCGCGCCTAGTCTGAACTCGTTCCCACAAAAGAAAATTGTGACGAAAGGAAAGTGCTGCTACCTATTAATACTTACGGACACTAGAAGAATGTTAAGGGCTATCCCTATGATTTCCGACGATAAAATACGGGGGTTCGATTCACCACGGTGGACTGAGCTCAGATAGTCCACTGTGTGGCTTTGAGCTAAAACAAATCACACATACACAATACATTTGGTCCTATCACAAACCAAAGACTAAATATTAATACAACACCATATTTAATATATATTTTTACACATTAAGTAATTGTACTCATGAGTAAAAAAATGTATGTTTATCTTCTATTTTAGAGGTTTTCTAGGGATAAAAATATTCATCGAACGAAATGTGCAGATGATCAAAGAATTTTTAAGTCAACAACTCAAACCTGTGATTATTGTAATGATAAGGTTTCAGGAGTTAAAATATGAGAATTTAGTTTATAAACTATGGAAGTATGATCACCATGTTTTTTTCTTTTTTTTTAATATACGCTGTTGGTTCAAGAATTCCAATATTTTTCAGTATCATATTCGAGTATCTAGACTTATTTTCTACCTGTACAAAGTCTGGTAGCTAGAGTGCTCGACTCGCAATCTGTGGGTCGCGAGTTCGAATCCTCGTCACCGAACATGCTCGCCATTTCAGCCGTGGGGGCGTTATAATGTGATTGTCAATCCCACTATTATTTGTTAAAAGAGTAGCCCAAGAGTTGGCGGTGGATGGTGTTGACTAGCTGCTTCCCTCTAGTCTATCACTGCAAAATTAGTGACAGCTAGCGCAGATAGCTCTCGAATAACTTTGCGCGAAATTCAAACAAACAATTCTACCTGTACATATACGTGGGAAGAGGTCATCACTGATTTTGTTTGTACGTTATTGAGCTCAAAGCTGCTCAATGGGCTAGCTGTGTTGTGTCCATCACGGATATCGAAACCCGATTTTTAGTGTCATAAGCTCTGAGACTTTGCCGCCGAGCCACTGATCTTTAATCTATTCTATAAAATAAATGCTCTGTTATAAGAATGCATAGAAGATTGCATAAATAATAGGGGAAACAGATAAAGCCAAATGGGCATACTTTACAACATTATATATATGAGTCGTTTATCAAGACTTGAATACCAGACGTGTCTAAAATACATTGAACTGAAATTGAATTAGGAACAAAAATCAAACAATTATGATATTAAAGAAAGAGAGAGAGAGAAACACACACACACACACACCCAAAACTGTTAAATATAATATTAAAAAAAGTTTTACACTATTAATAAACACAACTGCGAATGTAAATTAGCTAGTTGCGCTAAAAGTTTACTTAAAATTATTGCATGTAGAGTATGTATGATAATGTTTACATACTGTACCATCTATTCACCAAATAAAATATTAGATTGTGTACTAAAACGATTTATGTTAGCTACATATTATTGAATTTAGATGTACAAAAAGCACTAGAAAACGTATTATAAGAACAAATAAACGAAATTAGCATTATTTTCTAGTTTAAACCTAGAGTTGTAATGATAACTATTGTTGACTGGGTTTTTTGGGATTATTCAGTAAAAAGAATATACAAAATCCAGTCTACCTAATGATAACAAAATGGTTTTATTTCTTCAATTTCCACTGTTAGTACAAGCAACGTTCACCGACCGGTTTAACGTCGTAAATAATTTACGTCTCACTGCCCCGAACTAACTAACTGACGAAATAGCTAACTGAATCATGCACCGACTACTCGTTAACTTAGTGAGACATATTTTCTCAATAACACACTCTAGCCTAACTCGCTTTTATTTTTTATATTGCTTAAATTTTCTATTAAACTTTGGAAAAAGTTCCAGACATTGAGGTCACGCAACCACTTTATATCAAACACACTCCCGTCTAAATAACAATGCAAATTTAAGAAAAGTCTAGATTAAAAAATACAGGTTACAAAACTATTATTCATCAGTAACGAATCACTTTTCATAAATAATACAATCTACAAGTCACACGTAAACTTGAAGATGTCTGAATAGTAAAACCTTAAAGTGAAGTCTAGAAATAATTTCTATAAGTTTAAGAAGTTATTAATCCGATACGCTCTTAGCACAAAAGTGGGAAAGGTCGCTGCAATAAATAATTTTATAACAGACCACCTGACTTTTTAAAAATGTTTATCTCTGCAAACTACTTTAGGGTCTGCACACTATGCTATCGCTTCCTCTCCCTAAAGACGCTACCTTTTAAATTAATCAAACCACCTGAAGGAAACCCGCGACAACCAGTGGTCTCGTACCACACAGATTGCGAACCGCTGTTTTAAAACATCGGACTTACCAGGTTTCCATGCTGGGAAATATAATCTCCGTTTTCAAGGTCGCTATTACTCACACTGATTTCCTCCATAATTTCTTTAAAGAACCTATAAACAACATAATAGTAACTAGAAAAAATTATTCTGGAGAAAACAATAACTAGAGTATTGTTTCTTGGCACTTGTGTACAATGTTAAACTAATAACACACAATGTTAAAAATATTTTTAATTCAGGCTAATCTATAGCTTTCAAAAAGTTGACTATATTTCGACGTTTCAAGGTCATCACTAGGAGTGAAATTAGCACACATAATAGTTTCATATTTATATCCTTTTAACTGTTTCTGTATAGTTCTTAGAGGAGGTCCTGCCACATTCTTACGTGGATATTTGCCGGACATTCATCTCTTTTTGTATATTCTATTATTTGTTTGTTTTT